TATTTCATATTTAATAATGTTAACACAATATTCATTATCTAATTATCAATTATTTCATATTCAATAGAGAATATATGTATGACAACACATGTCACCATTCATTTTGCAATAGAGAGTGTTTTTTCATTCAAAATATCGGCAAACATTTAAAAAAAAAAAAAGATAACTATATATCACATAGGTAAAGTATATATACAATATGCACTGCTCTGCATATCGCATGGTGGAGAAGACCTTAGTTTCTCTCCATTAGAGAGATTAAATGAGTGTTGCTTTAAATTTTAAATTCAGGGTATTATGCAATTTTCTGCTTTCAAACTCACCAAGCAAGTATGCACATCTTTCTGTTTAATATTTTAGAAGTTCTCTATGGCATGCTTCCTTAATTTGATCTTTATTCTTTTTACGTGAGCCAAGATCATTTTATCTTTGCTTGTGCACATCTTTCTTCTTATTCTAGACTCAATTATCACAAAATAACTAATATTGATTTAAGAAAACGAATAAAATCTTATAACAATGATTTCATACTTCACTAGATAATGTTTGTAATTGATTATTTCATATTTTATATTTAGGAAAAAGTAGATATCTCTAAAATTTCTTTTCAGGTTTTGCTTTAACTAAATAAACAATGATCCATGCTTATGTAATTTAAGGATTTCAAAAAGTCATTGATTAGTACCAATATAAAATTTTAGAAGTTGTGCCTTGTATTCTCATCAATGGACTGTGATTACAAAGGGTCAAATATAAAATATTCCTTCGGTTTTTAATGTAGGACTTATTTGTTGAGTTAATCTTAGTTCTAAATGTAAGACATATTTCTCATATTTATTAATTTTTTTTAAATTGACCGATACTCTTCCAATCACAATCAAGTAGGAGAGGGAAAGGGACTATTAAGAAAGATGATTATAGTGTTTTAGAAAAAAAAATATCATATTGCTTATAATTAACTAACTCTCCTCACTTTTTTAATTTAATAAAATTAGTTAAATAGGTTTTATATTAAAGACCAAAAGAATACAAATTTGGGTTAATTGCCCACAAAAGACCAATTGTGACTTACAAGTCAAGCACGCCAATATTTTCCATATTTCCAAAGACTTCTGATATATTTGTTTGTTTCTTTGACATCTTCTCGCTAACGTTTTTTATGGGTAATCTCTAGTCGTAGCCTGCCAAACTGGACCACAAAATAGAAGTTGTTTCGTGCGAAGTGGTACATGACTTTGAGGTCTACTCACAAGTCAACTATTCCACGTAGCTATGAATATTAGGTGGTTGGTATAATGAAGTTAAGCACGCCAATATTTTCCATATTTCCAAAGACTTCTGATATATTTGTTTGTTTCTTCGACATCTTCTCGTTAACGTTTTTTATGGGTAATCTCTAGTCGTAACCTGCCAAACTGGACCACAAAATAGAAGTTGTTTTGTGCGAAGTGGTACATGACTTTGAGGTCTACTCACAAGTCAACTATTCCATGTAGCTATGAATATTGGGTGGTTGGTATAATGAAGTCCTCAGACTTTTGATATATACGTTTGTGAAGTAGGCACAAGATATGGCCTGCAAGATTGACCGTAAGCGAAATAATGCAGTGAAAATGAAAATGTGGTTTAAGAAATTAAAGAGAAAAACGCTCTTCTCATGATGAATATTATTTATGGGGTTATTCTATAACCTATACAATACGATGAAAATAAAAATAATTTCCTTGATGTGTTAACAAGCCATTTGTCGTTCTTCATCATGATTTTCTTTTTCCTTCATTGCATCAACTTCTTCTAGTGACCACTTAATGTTTGAAAAATCTACCATGCTTATGCCTAGTGAGTGCTCTTTAAATAAACATTATTTGACTATTAATGAGTGTATTAATAAAGGGAAAATAATAGAGAAATCATTTAATATATCTTATTGAAATATAAAATGAGATTTATTATGAAACACGTAAGTTTTTGTGACATTTATTATCAATTGAGGAGGTAGCTTAGTAGCACATACCAAATGGGTCCTTAGTCATAGTGAAACCTAAAAGGACTACTTACAACTCTACTTCTGAACAAAAAGCGCGTCTTATTAAGCTTGAAACTTCTATTAGTATCTTATATCTCCTCTTGATTAATTTATAATTAAATGTTTACTTAAGGATAATTTTTTAAAATTAGTAATTTTATAACAATTTATATTATAAAAATAAAGTATATTCTCTCTATCCATTATGATCGAGTAAATAATTAAAGATTTTTTTTTTGCCTCTTCCATTCGTGCTTTCTCTTTATCTGGTTGTTAACCCAAATATATTCGGGATTAGTGTTTTGCCAATGTCATTGTTTGGCTAGTCTCAAAAATTAAGATGTTATTTATATGCTTTAAAATTAAAACACTTGAAAGATTAATAAGTTTACTATTATAGGACTTATTGGAAATTTCTAATTTTTTAATAAATTTAAAAACTCCTCAAATTCTTCCAAGAACATATTCTTTAAATTCTTAGAACATGTTTAGTTGGCATTTTCTAGGATTTAGATTTAGATTATATACTTTTTCCCTTTTTTCCCACGCGACTTTTTTATACCCCCAAATCAAATAATGTAATGTTAAATTCATGATCATCTACTGAATTTCTATAGTGTTAATTTAAATTTAAGATTAAGATCTATTATGCAATTTCATGTTTTTAGATTAGTATGCACATGTTTGTTTTTATTTTATTTCCTATGGCATGCATGCTTCTTAATTTGATCTTTACTATAACATACGGTGTTTCATTTTCAGCCTATTGGTGCAGGAGCACCCTATCTTCTTTCTCAATTTAATTATCAACAGAATAAACATTTTTTTAAAGGAATTAACTAAAAGTTTTAGAATCTTCTAAGAGATGATTTCATACTTTACTAGCTAACATTTTTATTGAATATTTCAGACTTAATATTCGGGAAAAATTTCATAATCTCTGAAATTCCATTCATGTTTGCTTTAATTTAAAAATATCATTGCTTATATAATTTTAAGGATTTCAAAAATCATGAATTATTTCTTTTCGATGTGTAAAAAAAATCATCAATTATTTTTTCCGGTGCATAAAAGTTCACCAATTATTGCCAATATAAAATTTAACACATAACCAAATGAAGCTGTTTTCAGTCAGATGAATTGTAACTACGACTGCAAATTTGACTTTAATGCACAATAGACAAATTGTGTTTTGCAAGTAAAACGCGCTAGTAGTTTCTCTATTTCCAAAGACTTTGATATATTTATTTGTTTCTTTGACATCTTCTTGATCACTAATTTCTTTGGGTAATCTCTAGGTATATTCACAAAAGTATTTGAAGACTAACCGCTAAAATGATTTTCATTTCAACAATAAAATTCAAACCTCACACTCCTTTAAAATATGTGCCATATTGTATTCGTATAAACTAAACCAACTTTAATTTTGTTAATATGTTATCCTTCAATATGATTTTCAAAATGCTTTAAAACAATTGCACAAATGATCCCTTCAAGTTTGTGGCATAGAAAGTGGATTATCAGATTGAGTTTCTGTGCCTTTTGAAATATACACACAAAAATACATACTATTTTTTTTGCCACATACAATCTATAAAATTTGAGACAAAAAAATAATTAAATTCTGCGCTATTCATGTGTTTTTGAAGTCAACTGTGGTATTCTCTTTTGGGTAAACTAAAATGATATTACCAAATTAAAATTACAAACACACGCACACATATGATTTGTTTCGTTTGAAATTGAGTGTGACTTTGAGGTGTACTTACAAGTCAAGCGCTCCATGTACCAATGCATACGTACAATCAATTAAAGTTTGTAGACTTTTGATAGATATTTTGTTCATGCGTGCTTCTTCCCACTAGTAATTATGATCTTTTTTCCTCTGTATATGGCCTACAAGACTGACCATAAATGAAATAATGCAATGGAAATGAAAATGTGGTTCAGGAAGTGGAATTATACTCTCTCATTACTAACGTATTTATGGGGTCAATTCATCAACTTGTCTTTGGGGATAACTTTAATCTTTGGAATGCCAATTTCATTTATGCTCAACTCTTTGTTGGTATTAACTGGAATATATTTTGGTTTAGTGGTTTGTCAATATCTTTGTTTGGCTAGTCTTAAAGAAATTCAGATGTTATTTACACTTAGCTGTTATTTATAAACTTATTTTTGTGGATGTATTTTCATTTTGAAAATTCTCTAATTAAAATAAATTGAAGGCTGCTTTTAATAAAATAGATGATACACTAGTTGAAAATTGCAAATTGAGACTACATCAAAATTAACATTTTAAAAAAAGGGATAAGGTGATTAAATACTCTAAAAGTATTCATGAAAAAACAACCAGCATCTGAATTTTTTTTTTGGCTTTTATCTGCCATTATATAAATTTTTTATCTGTTATTTATAAATATATGTATTATAACATGTCGTTCAGATCTGAGTTATTAGGTGTAACAAAATAATCTTTAAGTTTCCATCCTGGAGCGTGTAATCTTGGCAAATACCGTTTTTAATTATACAATTTAATTTACTGTATGTGTCTTGAAATATTATCGAGCAAAAAAAATGTTTATAGAAATATTAAAGCCACACAAGACAAACAGAAGAGAATATAAATCAATTTTAAACGAAGTACAATACAAAAAAGTAAAAAGCTTTTATTATTTGGAGGTCTGTAATTAATCACAATCACGCAATATATTTTATTTTAGTGTTCACTTTTTTATGGTTATTTTTTATGTAGTCACAAGAGATGTCATTTTGCAATTTGAAATTTAACGTCCTGCCTTGACTTTGATTTAGAATTGGAGAAGTATAAATGGAGGTGTTTGTTAATTGCTGGATGCACAACACTTGCAAATTTGATAAGTCTGCTGTGCAAAACATGGAAAAACCTCTTCCCTTTGTTTTCCTTTTCTTTCTTCATTGCTTCATGTCCTGCTTAGCTTGGAGTCAAACAAACATGACTACCGACATATCTGCACTTCTTTCCTTTAAATCCTATATCACTTTGGATCCATACAATTTCTTAGCTAATTGGTCTGTCTCTTCTTCTCCTTGTAGTTGGGCTGGTGTCACCTGCAATACTCGTCATGGAAGGGTCCATTCCTTGATTCTTGGTGGCATGGATCTTAAGGGTAGCATATCTCCACAACTAGGAAATCTCTCCTTTCTAGTTGATCTTGATCTCAGTAAAAACAACTTTCATGGTCAAATTCCTCAAGACTTGGTTCAATTACGTCGATTGAGACTGTTCAACTTGAGCTATAATGACTTTCACGGACAAGTTCCAACATGGATAGGAGATTTATCTATGCTTGAGCAGTTGAGTTTTCGAAATAACAGTCTCAATGGGTTTATTCCATTATCTCTATTCAATCTATCAAGGTTGGAGACTTTGGATTGGAACTCTAATATCATTGAAGGTACCATTCCACCTGAGATAGGAAGTCTAAAGCACTTGAAGAATTTACAACTTTCAAGGAACAAACTTTCAGGAGCAATTCCCCAAACAATTTCCAACTTATCTTCACTTGAACTGCTATGGTTGTCTTATAATAGTTTGTCAGGTATGTTTGGATTAATTTTTATATTTATATTTGTGTTTGCTCAAAACTAGTCTATTTATTCATCTGGATATAAACTCTCAATAATCATGTGTTTGGGTGCGTTGAATGTGGTTGTTCTTTAATGATCCTTCGTTCTCAAAATTGAAGTTAATTATTTATAAAGTAAGGTGATAAAGCATAGAATTCAAGTTTTCATTATTAATATTGAATAACTCAGTTCTAATATTGATTTTTTTTTTGTCAATCTATGCAAATTATATCATTGTGAAAGAAAAATTTGTTTAAATTCTTAGGTATTACTTAGGTCATGACGTTTTAGAAGATATAGAATGGGTTTTATTTGTCATTACATACCAAACGGTTCTTGAGGATACTCCAAAAATGCGACTCCCGCATTTTTTTTTTAGCATTTTATATCGATGAGAATTTTTTTTTTCAATTTGTGAAATAAAAAGCTATGGCGAGTTGAATTTTAGAAGTTTAAAATAGTTAAGACGTGCTTTATGGCGATCCGTTATTCGCTACGTGCTTTGAACATGGCACCAACTGGGATTCCTTCTTTCTACTTTTTTGGTATTTTTCATTTCCCCCCATATTTTCTTTTCAATGGCAAGTTTTTTGGTTTTCTTTTGTTATAGACAATCCACTAGAATTTAATAAACACACATAATTATCATGCTTAGAGTGTGTAAAATTCGCAAATACCATTTTTACTGTATGTTAATTGAAATTTTAAAAGGGCCCCATACACCACTACCTAGGGTCACAAGGAATTAAAATGCTGGAGTATTTCTTACTTTATTAATGATATTTCTATCTTGGGTCATTTGTAATTAGCTGTTTATATTTAGGGATATCCTTATAATCTGAATAGTCTGTTTATTTATATATTTATTTTAGCTTCTCAAACTTTGAAAAAAATAATAACTTTAGATGTATTGAAAAAAAATATAGCACACCACTCTAATTAATTTTAATTTGATGTAATCACGAGAGATGTCATTTTCCCAGTTTGAAATTGAGTTTGCACTCCTTGACTTTGATTCGGGATTGGAGAAATATAAAATGACGTGTCTATTAATTTTTGGATGCTCGACACTTACAAATTGAATTTTCTATTTTTATCTTAATTATAACAGTTTGTTAGGTATGTTTTGAATGATTCTGGGTTGTCTTCATTTTTTTTTAGTTGTTGTTATATTTTTGTGCATTTCTTATTGTTTTTTTCCATCATTTTTCTATTCTTCTTAAAAGAATAAAAAACAATTTGTCATCCCAATTTTGAGATGGTTAGTAACCCTATACCATAGGGAAAAAGACTATTGTTATAATATTAGTCTGACGAGATCTTTTAAGGCCTATTATCAATCTTTGAAAACGATATTTATTATTATCATGCTATTACAAACTTTTTGAAGTTTTTTTAATTAAAAAAAAAGAGTAAGCCTTACCAGCAACATGTTTGGAAAATGGAACATTTAATTTTAATTTGGATAATATAACATATTAATTTTATGATATATTATTCACTTTTATTTTAAATAAGTTTGTAGAAACAAAAATTATTTTTTTGGAGTCTCCCAAAAAATATGTGCTTTGAAAGAAATGATGAATGGCGTAAATCTGAAAAAATAACAAAAAAAATTTAAATTAATCAAAATTACAGAAAAATAAACTGAACTGAAACATAAAACAGTGTAATGAATCCCCATATCCAAAATATTTATTCTATGTTATTACCTAAGCTGAAATGAAAGGGTTATTTCTATTTTGAAAATAAGTATTGTTGTGTTTATTATTTAAATGTACTAATGTTATTTCTCATATAAGAGCGCAAGTCTTACTATGTGTTTTCAAAAATGCAAATATGTCTCATGTACATAATATTTTTGTCAACTACACCAACGATCTTGAACTGTCCCTATATAGGACTTAGCTAGCTAGTGACAAATTTAATTTTTGAAAATAATTATATTTCTTAACACTGTCAGCTTAGCTTTGTAAGGTTATATCTTATCCTTGAGTATATTTTCAAAATTGTTTTCAATAAAAATGCAGACATAAAATGCAACACTTGATTGACAAATATAAATATGAATTAAAAATACATACTTTAAAAAAATCTTCCATATGCATGGTCAAACCCAACAGCAAGAAAAAAAAAAACCTAAAAAAATCCACACTCTTAACTTCTCTTTCATTTACTTTCTAGTATTTAACTTAAATTAATTGTTGATTATGTCTTTCAATATTTATACAGTGAAATAATAATTTTTGCTATGCATATTAATTATTTCAACAGCGGATTATTTGATCATTTTATTATGACATATGATAGTTAATGCGCATGCTATGAAAGTTGATATTGACATATTGTTTATCATTTAATATTGGAAGGAGCCATTCCAAATGAAATTGGTGATCTTCAACAGCTTCATACAATATATCTTGGAAGTAATCAGCTTTCAAGCACTATACCAACCTCCATATTTAATAGTTCAGTGCGACAATACATTTCACTTGATATCAATAATTATCTGGGAGTCTGCCAACAAATGTGTGTTCTGGGCTTCCAAAACTCAAATTATTTTATGTGAATGGAAATGATTTGTCTGGCAAAATACCCTCCATTTGGCATCAATGCAAGGAATTGGTAGAGTTACATTGGGGATAACAAATTCAATGGAGGAGACATACCAACTGACATTGGAAATTTGACCAAACTTGAGTGGCTATATCTTAGCAGCAGCAACTTGCAAGGTAAGAGCTTTAATTATGCGGTTGTCTAAAATTTTGTTTTTACTATTTTGATAAGTCATTAATTTAATTTAAATATTAAAAAATTTAGTCAATAATAATTTTGCTAGATTAATTTTAAAGACATGGAACTTGATGCTTTCTTTTAATCTCAAACTGGATATGCTTTCTTTTATATATAATTTAATTTTCACACATGTCAAAACATGAAATAAAATATTTAAACTGAACAAAAATAAATTAATCAAAATTTGTAATTAACTTTCATGTGGTGTGGCATTCCTTCCGTGTCGGTTATTTTCCCCTCCATTTTGTTGTTGGCGGCTATTTTTTAAAAATAAATCTGGTTCTATATTATCAATTAGAGCATATCAGTGTTATTTTTCAAAATGAGTAAGCCTTGAACGATGTTATAGAAAAAATATAAATTTTGTATCTCGTAGACATAACATGTAAATGAAATATATCATTAAAAAAAGTAGAAAACTATTATTTACTAATATTATAAATTGCTAACACGCACAAATATGTTAATTCATTCGCATTGAATTGGAACAATTTTCTGGCCAAAAAAATTGGAACAATTCTGTACGTTCAATTCTTGGTAAAATTGAATAACGCTCTTGAACATAAAAATTTTCACTGGTAATTTCTTAATAATTATTTAATTTGAAGTTAAAAGAAACATCCAAAAAGGGGGAAAACCTAACAAATGGAGAGTCATTATACATTATGTGGAACTTTTTTTTTTCCCTTATTAAGCAAATATACTTAATGATTTGGAAAATTTTCAAATAAAGAAGCCTGAAATTATGATATTTTAATTTTCAAATCAATTTCATCATGAGTGAAAGTTAAAATAAAAGAGTAAACTTATATTATTTTTTTGCATTACAGTGTTACTTTTAATTTTAGCAACCACCCGGTTGAGAGATTAAATCCCACTAACCCCATTGTCTTAGGCAAAAAAGATAAATGCTTCGGCAAGGGGTTCCAAAGTTATTTAAAAAAAAGAGAAATTTTTATAATTTGTCATGAATTTCAAAATTTTAATTTGATTTTTCTTCATTTTCTATAATTTTAAAGTATTAAGTACCTAAATTGAAATAATGTAATTTTATGTTTTTTTTTCTGAAATTTTTGCTAATGAATTCTCACTAAAATTGTGCCAAAAAATTCTTTCATGCAAAGATAAATTGCTGAAAAGGTAGCCTAGTGCTTTTTGCCGTACATGATTAATTGGAAAACGTACAAAAAATTATTTAGTCAAACTTAACGTACTGACTTGCGATATATTTTTTTTTTAACCAAATTTGATGGTTGGACAAAATTTGCTTCTCACTTTTTAATATTTATGCATCGATTAATCCGTATAACACATATATTCAAGTTTTTGGAATTAGTACGTAAGAAACGTATATATATACATATATATATATATATATATATATACCTATATGCAAATAATATCTTTTGTGTTTATTCCATTTCTATTTTTCAAAGTGGAGGGGTGTTAGAGGTCTTTGTAAAGAATTTATGTTCCTTTTAATTCAAATATAAGCATAAAATGACTTATGCAATTTAAAAAATTAGTTAAAATTAGTTAAAACTAGTAAATGTATAAAATATATAACTTATTATCCTAATACATCCTTGTTTATGGTGAGGTTTAATAAGAGCGAGGATGAGAAAAAAAAAAGAAAAAGAAATAGAATGAGTTAAAAAGGGTCAAAAAGATAATATGAGTGAGGCTTATAATTAATTTGGGAATAAAATTTAAAAAGTACATTAAATGATCCAACGCATCCAGAACGAAGCTTATAAAAAAAATTAGTCACTCTTAAAGATTTGATATTGATATTTTTTAATTGGTAGGAGTATGTCATTGTAATGTTCAGTTACGAGTATTGAGCTTTAGGTTCTTAAAGCCCAGTCTCTAATGTATGTGTTTCTATATAAATATGGGCCAACTAGTCAGTGTTATACGTGAATCCAGTCTCCCTTTCACTCAATAATAGATAGATTTTGGTTCATTCCAGTTTTTTTTTTGGCATCTCTTTACATTATATTTATACTTTATGCATTTTATACAAAAGTATTATAAATTGTTTATTTTCCTATTTACAAGTCCATTCAGCGTTTTCACAAGAAGAGTTGTTAATGAATCATATTAAATGCCAACCTCTTTACAAGTATTGAGATTATTATTTCTTATTTTTCTTCTTTTATTTCCTTTTTTCAATATTCTTCAATAATCAAATAAATTTAAAATGAGATTTTATCTGTTATTTCTTTATCATCGTTCATTTTTCTAGTGGAGGCTTGAATATGGCTAATGATTTATAATAACAAAGCGGCAACGATTTTTTATTTTTTTTCTGGTGATATTTTCTTCATTTTGAGGAAAACAAAAAAGTGATTTTTTTTTGGTCCTTTCATTTATTCATTCATATTCTTCGTTCATATAATGGGACTTATGTTAAGCTTGTGATTACAATGCCAAAATAAAAGAAAGATAAGATCAACAACCAATGGGACCGCTTGATATTTAAAATGCGTAGGACTTTTTTTTTTTTAAATCTTACTCTTAACTATCACATCATTTATATATACTTTGATCAATAAAATGGCTTCACCATATATAATTTTCCCAGGAATCATTCCAAGTGAGATTGGAAACTTGACAAACCTCCAGACTCTTGTTCTTAACAGCAACAATTTGCAAGGTCAGAATTTTAATTATATGACTATCTTATACCATGTGTGTATTTTTGTTTTGTTTTAATCTCCGGAATGAAAAATAATTTTAAAATGAGATTCTGTTTTTATTTTTTTCATTCATTTTAAGGAATCATGAAAAGGTTTGCGTTCATAAAAAAAATGTTTAAAAAGAGTCATAACTTATTGACAAGTACTTGTGATGTGTGTGCTTGTTTGTTCATGAAATGTGGCTTATCTATTTTTCTCTTTATTTGGAAAAAGACACATCTAATGGTGATGTTGTCTTTTAATCCCAAAAGCGAATATTGCTTTATACATATATACGCGTGTTTGTAGCTTGCTTAGACTGTGTTAATTGAAATTTATACATATATACATATATTCATGTCGCGCATACATTCGTAGCGTGCTTTGAACACGGGTTTTTGTGTGTGTGTATTACTTATGTGCAAACAATATATATATATATTACCTATATGCAAACAATATCTTTTGTGTTTATAAATAAAGTATTCCATTTCTATTTTTTAAAGTGTAGGGGTTGTTAGAAGTCTTGTAAAGAATTTATGTTCCTTTAAGTTTAAAATATAAGTATAAAATAACTTATGCAATTCAAAAAGTTGGTTAAAATTGATTAAAAATAATAAAAATATTAAATATATAACTTATTGTCCTAAAATATCCTCATTTATGGTGAGGCTTATAATTAATTTGGGAGAAAAATAAAAAAAAGCATTAAATGATTCAACAAATCCGGAAACAAGCTTATTAAAAAAAAAAAAAGTCCCTCTTAAAGATTTGATGCTTATATTTTTTTACCTAGAGGGGGTATTGGGTTTTAGGCTCTTAGAGCCGAGTCCCTCGTGTCGGTGCTTCTATATAAATATGGGCCAATTATCCAGTGTCATGCATGAACCCATTTCCACTGTTGCTGAATAATAATTTTCACTTCTTTCCAATTTTTCACCGGCATTCCTTTACATTATATATGTACTTTATGCATGTTATACAAAAGTATTATAAAATTTTTAATTTTCCTATTTACAAGTCCATTCAACGTTTTCACAAGAAGAGTTGTTAATGAATCACATTAAATGCCAACCTCTTTACAAGTATTGAGATTATTATTTCTTATTTTTCTTCTTTTATTTCCTTTTTTTAATATTCTTCAATAATCAAACAAATTTAAAATGAGATTTTATCTGTTATTTTCTTTATCATCGTTCATTTTTCTAGTGGAGGCTTGAATATGGCTAATGATTTATAATAACAAAGCAGCAACGATTTTTTATTTTTTTCTGGTGATATTTTCTTCATTTTGAGGAAAACAAAAATGTGATTTTTTTTTCAAGACTAAAGGTAATAACACAAATATTCAAGTTTTTTGGAAGTAGCACGTAAGACGCATCATATGCACACATATTGCTTCTATGCAAACAATTTATACACACACACACATATATATTACCTATGTGCAATCAATATCTTTTGTGTTTATAAATAAAGTATTCCATTTCTATTTTTTAAAATGGAGGTAGTGTTAGAAGTCTTGTGAAGAATTTGTGTTCTTTTTTATCGAAACATAAGTATAAAATAACTTGTGTAATTTGAAAAGTTAGTTAAAATTGATTAAAAATAATAAATGTGTCAAATATATAACTTTTTGTCCTAAAACATCCTCATTTATGGTAAGGCTGAATGGGAGAGAGGATTAGTTTAAAAAAACAAGAGGGAAAGAGAATGAGTTAAAAAGAGTCAAAAAGATAATGAGAGAGGCTTATAATCAATTTGAGAGAAAAATAAAAAAAAATGCATTAAATGATCCAACAAATCTGGAACAAGCTTATTATAAAAAAAAAAGTTAGTCCCTCTTAAAGATTTGACGCTAATATTTTTTAACTGAAGGAAGTATTTTGTGGTAATATTCAATCAGGGATATTGGGCTTTAGGCTCTCAAAGCCCAGTCTCGAGTGTTTGCGTTTCTATACAAGTATGGGCTAATTATCTAGTGTTATACATGAACCCAGATCCCGAATCGTTGAATAACAGATTTTTAGTTCTCTTCAGTTTTTTCATAGGCATCCTTTTACATTATACATATACTTTATGCATATTATACAAAAGTATTATAAATTTTTTTATTTTCCCATTTACAAGTGCATTCAGTGTTTTC